TTTTTTTTTTTTTTTTTTTTTTTTTTTTTTAGTTTTTCTGTACCGAATGTATTCTAACAATAGGTATAACATGAAAACAAAATACTATTATACATTATATACATTATTATACATATATATATATATATATTATTTATTCAAGCGATTTCAAGCGAAAATCGCAATAAATAATAAAATACATATAGTATATGCGTGTATTAAGCGTAAATATTTTTATACAGTACTATATTATTATTTTATATTTACATCTATTTATACGCGCGAAAACGAATAATTTTTTTTTGCGTAATATTTACGTACACGCATACAATATTCGCGGGTCTCTACGCGAACAATATAATCGATAAAAATAATAATAATAAAAAAAAAAAAAAAAAAAAAAAAAAACAAACAAACAAACAAACAAACGTCTGCGCCTAAATTATAATACAATAATAATTATATACATAAATTATTTATCAGATTTTAAAAAAAAAAAATGTGTTTTTTTTCGTATTATATATTAATTTAACGGTTTTTTAGCTAAAGAACGAACGTCACTGCGCGCGCGGTTACAAGCGGTGCCGCCGTCTCGTCGCGAACGACGACGACGACGACGACGCCACTTAAATAACGGAACCGTTAAATTAATAATACGAATCTCAGGTGGTCAGGTGCGTGAACGGGTACGGGGTGCCGTATGGCTGGGCGGCCATGTGATAGTGGTACGGTACCATGTTCATGCTGGCCATCTTGTGTTCCTTTTTCCACTTCATCCGCCTGTTCTGGAACCATATCTTTATCTGGCGCTCGGTCAGGCACAGCGCGTGCGCTATCTCGATTCTCCGTCGCCGGGTCAGGTACCGGTTGAAGTGGAACTCCTTCTCCAGCTCCAGCGTCTGGTAACGGGTGTACGAGGTGCGCTGTCGTTTCGTCTCGCCGTTGGCGTTCACCGTGCCTGTGACGCAGAAAAAAAAAAACCCATACAATTAGTATAGACCGAGTAAATCGCGTAAATCGGATCGCATCCGAAATATCCGGTTCGTATTTCTGGTCGAAACCGCGGCGAAACACAAAACAGGCGTACTATGCGGAACTAAAGAATCTACAGGCGCCGAAGCTCCAGAGCAGTAGCTCCCATTAGCATTGGTGCCACTAGACCAGCACTTTTGGGGGCGCTAAAGTTATACGCGTATCAAAGACCCACGGGGGACTGTGCCCCCGCAATCCCCTTTACGTGACCCTTACCATGATCAACCACACCTTTCGTTTACAATTTTACAATAAATACGAATTTACCATAACTATTTTAACATTATTTTTCCTTACACACGCATGCATTGTTCTGCTCAGTGGCGCAAATAGGGGGGCGTTTTAGGTGTCTGGACAACCCCTACATCCGCGTTTGAGTAACATAAGTGTGTTAAAGAACGTGTTTTTCTTAAATTATAGACATGTAACACTCCTCTTCATAAAAACCCGGTTGTTCCACCGGCTCTGCTCATTAATTATATGAAATACACGAGAAAATATTTAGCCGTTTCTATGAAAAAGCTAATTGGTTGTTTTTTGGCGTACTAATTTTTAACTCGGGGTTGCTAAAGACACTGGCATCCCCCGAGTTGCGACTATGCCCGATACTGAGCCGGGGCTCGGCTCCCAAAGGTTTTACTGTTGAATAACGGTTACAGATATCTGTGGTTTGACGTGGTCCATACCACGCCATCGATACGCAGAGTGCGTATTGGTGATAAATAATAATAGTTTCTCGACTAGGTTGGGTAAACTTTACGCGAGTTTACTACGAGTAAAAATTAAAATGTTTTATTTAAACGATTTAATCTCGTTTTCAATACATTTCGCGTTAAAAATTGGCTAATAATAAGATACGGTGTTATTTTACCGGTATAAGTGGCGTTATCGTTTCCGTGGTTTACATTGAAACCACGAGTCTACCGGAAAAATATTATAGAGTAACGGATTTTCAGAAACGCTCAATGCACGAATACCGATAACGATTTTTTTTTTTTTTTAAATGTTTAGTTACGCGCTTGTTGCGGTATTAACGACGATATCCGTATTGATAATAATATAAGTATATCGTATTATGATAATTTTATTATTATAGGACGTTATTTGACGAGACGTCGTTTGACGATAATATACTATTCATAAAACGTTTAGTTAAAGCGCGGAATTTTTTTTGATTTTTTTTTTTTTTGACTGGTACCGTATTATTATAAATTACGCATTATTTATGTACGTAAGTATACATACGAAACCGCTCGACACGGGTCATATTACAATGCCGAGTCGTGTATTATTGTATACGCGGACTACAAACAATACGGCGTAAATTGACTGGCCTAAACAGATCTCTCGGCGCGTATTTATTATTACAGATAGGAATACGCTCGTTACATTATGGTTGTAAGTAGTATACGGTAGTGTAATATCCGTACGGGTTTTGTTGTTTTTTTTTTTTCTTTGTTTTTGTACGCGAGTAAAACGTAAACGCATAAAGGAATCGCCGGAACAAGACGTGCGGCGCGCGCGTAGCGTTTCTTCGCGGTCCGCGGCTGTTATAAATCTGTCGTTCTCGCGTAATTAGACAATCTGTTAAACGGTCTAACGGGCATTTTTTTTTCTTTCTCGTTTTTTTTTTTTTCTCTCTCGGCGACGTTGTTCGTGACAGACGCCGCAGGTATAGGTACTTACTACAATGTACAGTCGCGACGGCGACCGAGGTGCGCTTCGTATCGTTAATTGTTCGACGATACCATACCTACGCGTGTATTAATATTATGGTTTTATAATATTGCATGCATGTGCGGGCTGCGCGTTATACTTTTCGTAAATAATTATTATAGCACAAGCTGTTGGAGAGAACCGTGTCTCACGGGAGTACATCCGCGCGAATCGGCGATTAAATACACGTAATCTCGTGTAGGAAATCGCCGGATCCTATATACGAACGGGTACACGGAATGTCTCTCTTTCCGGTACTGTTCCTACCGTTCTAGGTAATCCGGTGTTAACGATCTGGGAATTTTATTTGATCGGAATTCGGACTTCCAAGCGCACATTGAAGCATCGTGCCACGAGGCGCGAAATACTCGATAGGGCCGCGATGCCTGACGATAGGCGAAGAATATTGCTAACCAAATACAGTTCTTCAGGAAGCTTATCGCGATAGGCCGTCCTATCCGTCCCACCCGTCATTTAGTCGAGTTTGTTTTAGAACGCCTTAAGTCGGGTCCCGATCATCACCTTATCCTTTCACCGTGACGTCTTTGGAATATGTATGAAAAAAAAAAAAACGTTTAAAAATATCGCGTTTTGAATTAATTTCGATTGAAGCTCGAGGTTTTCGCGGATATCGGACGTCGATTTTACGCCGGCGAAAAGCGGGTATCGGCTCGAATATTTAAATATAATTCGTATTACCGTCGCATTATTCTTATCGAGCACGTGTGTGTACGCTCGTCTACGTCGTATCCGGTGATTTTCGGTTTCGGCGCGCACGTGACCCGTCGGAAACGGTTTTTAATCCCCCGGCCCGGCATTGAAACGCGCGACGACGGGTTTTGTCGCCGGAATTAGCGCGCAGACGCGTTCCCCGCGAGACGAATTTCGTGCGTTTACACGACGCGGGCATGTCTTTTTCGTTTTCCGCGCGTGTACAAACGGGCCGGCGTCGTCGCGGTTCGGAAATCGGCAAAACAAAAAAAAATGAAAAAAATGACAAAAGGACGGACATACTTCGCACGTGGGTGCAGCCACTGTTGTATAGGTGAGAAGTTGGGAAGATAGGATACAGACGGGAATTTAATGTATATCCTGTAGGCAACGCGATAGACCATCGCTGACGAAAAAACGTTTCAGAACGGAGTTCAGTCGTTAGTGTTGCTTCGTCAACAATATATATATATATATAAATGCCATAATATGGTAAAACGATTGCAACAATGATTGTTTAAAAAAAATTAAAATAATAAAAACTTAACAATAATAAAAAATAAATAAAAACGGTTGCCAATGACAACCTTGTCAAGATCTTTCAATCTTTTTTAACCTAAAGAACCAAGTTATCCTTATTATCTCGAATATTAATGAGAATTTTAAAAAATTACTTCTTTAAAGTACCACCAAGAGAACATTTTCTTTCAGAAAAGGTACTATAATTGATGATCGGAGTAAGCTCTCTGGTAGAAATAATACAGGTAAAAAAGTAATTTTTGTAGGAGCTTACATGTGGCCCGTAATAGTGCCTGTACGACGGACTTGAACTCTAATAATAATAATGTTCGCCCCCGGGATCTCTCTCTCTTTGTCATTAATTCGCTATGGAATCCAATCCATTTGTTCCCACGCGTCAACCGTACAGTGTTCCAGGGGGGGAGAGGGGTGGGGGAATGGCACGCGATGCCGTTATGTATCGTCGAAACAAAGATATGTACAACAGTACCTATATAATACACACACATATACATATATTGTAATGCATTTTCGACGGACGATTTTTGGGCACCGATCGTGCGAGATATTTTTTTTTTGTTTTTACATTTTCACGGCTCCCGAACACGTCGTCGTCGTCGCCGTCGTCGCCGACGGGAGGATTCGGTTGTCACAGACGTCGACGATGACGACGACGGCACGTCCAAAAACGGTGACAGATCCGGCGGCGGTGACTCCGTCGTCGTCGGTCGTCGTCGCCGGCGCGTAATGACGTCGTCGAGTGGGCGAGCGTTAATTATTATTATAACGATTATCTTTTTATTTATTTATTTTTAATTTTTATTTTGTTTCTCGTGAAAACCGTCATAACTATACCGAATTTTCGACTCGCGAACAGACACGTTCCGACGACGACTCCTCCGGGCGACAACAATCCGACAAATTAACCGTTGACGCATGTCGCGTAACCGGGGATTGTCCGTCGCGTCGTTTATTTTAGACCGTAGACCGTTTTTTTTCTCGCCCCGCGTGCACCGCATATTTCCGTCCGTTTTAAACGGTTTATTATTTATAGGTACGTTTTTTTTTTTTTTTTTATTCGCCGGTCATTAGTCATCGAACGGCCGACCGTAATGACAATATAATATTATGTATAGGTCATAAGTTACAACGACGATTGCAGTAATACGCGATATCGTCCGCAGTCATCGACGATTGCCCGCAATTATAATAAATTCGACAGGGTATATACATATTATTATTATTATTATTATTACTCGCGTTATTCGTCCAGATAACGCGTACGTGCGAGAAAACGGGCTTATCAATAATATTTTACTCTTTATATACATACTGACCTCTTAGAAAAAAAAAAAAAAATTGAAAAAATGCTCCAGATTGTAACAATATAAAGTGCTATTATCAGTATACGATTCGTTATGTAAACGTTTCCACATTATGTAAACAATACATGCACCCTCCGAGTTTCGCGCGTGATATTCCGTCCGGTTGGGGGGAGGGGGAGAGACTTTAAAAGCGGAATAATTTGATTATACTGCCGTTTAAACAGCACGAGTATAAAGATATGATACTGTACAGAATTACATATATTATAATAAAAAAACGTTATAGGTTTTTTTTTTTTTTTTAAATCGTATTTTTCATTTATTACACTTTGAACGGTGGCTACTACTCCGGACGGCTTTCAAATTAGAAAACATTGGCTTGATGAAAAACCGATGTAATATTCTTTCCGGTGCGCAATTTTTTTTCGTCTGCGGGGAAAACGCGTAAGTTTTATCGCGAATGCATCGCACGCTGGTTAAAATGTTCAAAATCAGACCGAAACGCTGTATACGTTTCGGTCTGATTTTGATTTTGATTATTGCGGTATCATAATTCTCAAACGTCGAAAATCCCCGTTTTGACCGAACAACTCCGTCAGCTCGAAATATTATTTCGCGTTGTCGCGTCGCAAGTGAAGCGCACTGCAGTAGGTACTGTGCGTAGCATTTTCCAACAGGCCGCACGGGCTGTACTTGAAATTATATTTTTTAACTGGAACATGATTACTGTGCAGATGTTGCCGTTGTCGATGTACAGTCAATTTATTGTATACGTAGCGGTTGTTTTATCAAACTATAATGTACGGACGGCGTACGAAATATACTTGTCGAATAGTACGATATCCGACTCCGTCACGTCGTCGAAAACGGTGTCGTGCGATTGCACCGGTGTAGACGAGATTGCACGCACTACGCCGTCGCGTGGATTCGACGTAATCGCTACACGTTAACGTCCCGACGGTGGCCGGAGATGGTAGGCGAGAAGTTTACACCGGTGCAGCGCGGCCAGCAGATGAAAAACGGCAGGTACGTAATAGTAATGATATTGAGTAGTTCGACGTCGGTTAAAGGAAAAAAATATACGAAACCGTTTTCGCGGCCGGCGAAAAGCCGTACGTACACACCGGGAAAATCGATTGTATATTTTTTTTTGTTTTTAGTTTTCGTCTCGCGGGTACGCGTAGTGTTTTCACAAAGATCCGGTGGCCGTACGCGCGTGTTAATAATCGAAATGATACGATTTCGATCGCGGATAAGTCGGCACGCGGACACGCCCGAATGGTAATTGAAGTTTTTTTTTCTATCCGTCACGTATAGAAACGGACACGCGGTCTTTCGCGTCGCGTCTACGGCAATTTGTATTATTATTATTATTTTTTTTTTTTCAATCGATTCCGATCACCTACAGATTACATAGCAGGCGGCGTAGGCGGCTGCCGGACGAAAAACCGTCGATTTTAACGCAACAAAAAACACGTAGAAAATCTTTCGCGACGATAGTTTCGGCGTATACGAGAGAAGAAAAAATCGCGACTCCTTTAATAACGGTTTCCGCGCGCGTGTTATATTCAGACGGAATCGAAATCGCGATTATTAACAATAGAATTGAAAAATCACGGGGTCAAAATTTCAATGATTTTAAAAGGTCGTTTTCGTATACGTATATTATTTTAACAAGGGGCCAATTTTAGCGTGCGCGCATCACTCGTGACAATCGAGTATAATTTATATCGGCCGTATAGTTCCGTATACGGAAAGAAAACAACACGCGAATATGATTGATTTAAAAATTATTGGTTGACGCGACTGTGGTGCCGGCGATCGTGATACACTGGTGATAATTTATTGTTTTTGATTATTCCGCGCGCTCTCGGATGGTTCGCGAACAATCAGTAATATTATAAAAACAAAATAAAAAAAAAACAAAAACAAAAAAACAAATAAACCGGATTCTTGTACGCGAATCAATAAACCGACGAAATGACATTAGCACACCACCGGACGAGTGTTCAATTTATTTGCCAGTTACTTCGATTATTTAGTGTCGGGCAATCGAATAATATTGCGTTCGACATACTTCGCGCGTTAACGGGTATGCCACCGACGTTGCTGGTGAAAAGTCGAAAATTTATACAGGACAGATTTTTACGGTTTTCTGTGCGAAGAAAGCGACGACACACGGTTGCAATCGAAAACGATTCCGGGCGGAGATCGGTGAACGGGTAAAGTCACACGGAATGTATCGCTTTTTATTCTCTTTTATAGCAGCAAAGATGATAATCCAAAAAAAAAAAAAAAAATAACCCACAGTAGACACCATAAAACCAGTACCGCGGTGGATAACGTCATTCGTCGTCGGGTTTTTTTTAATTTTGTTGGAAAACGCGCACTGAAAGTATAAGTACTACCTACGCCTTAAGTAAATATTTAGAATTTTTTTTTCTGTACATTTTGTCTTATGCATTTTTGACCGCTTATTTGTTGGTCTAAATGGCAAAGTGTGTATGGGTGTACACTTTATATGATGTATTTTTCATCTGGAAAAAAAATGCGTGTAATTACGCGGTTCGAGCACGGTTTAGAACGTCTGCGTTCGGGTTAGGCCAATGACAACTATTAGCCGCGTAGCCGTTATTGTAACGATGCGTGCGTTGAAAATTAAAAATTAAATTTTTTCTGGCATTGAAAACTATACGAATTTCGACTAGACGAGCCCCTCCGCCCCGGAACCGAAGAATTATTATATTATTGTACTACTGCTAGCTAACTATAAAAACGAGGACGGGTTTAATATTTCGTTCGGCCTTGCTGTGTACAGTGCGTGCGGTGAGTACGGAACACTGAATTAGTTTTGGACGCAGTCATAACACGACGTTGGCGTTAACGACGCGCGTGTCTATACGATAATAATATATGAAATTAGCGCGTCTTATACCGCAGCGCGAATGACAGCCGCGAACCAACGACGGTGTCAGAAGTGCGTGGAAAAGACCGGCGAGTCGTATATAATAATAATAATAATAATATCTTATAATATGATAATGCGCGTTTTGAAAACGAGTAAAATCGAAACGGCAACTACGAGGACTCGGGCCGTTTTTACGTACCGCGAACGCCATATTTTATGTATTGTACGTCATATACGTAGCATTTGTCGGCACACGAAACGGGCTATGACACGAATGCGGCTACGAGGTGCGCGTTATACACAAATTAATACGAGTGAAAAAAAAAAAAGCAAACACGTATATAGTGTATTAACTACAGCGGTCCCCATTGAATGACTCGTTGTTTTCGGTGCGATGACTGTGCGACTTTTCGGTCTCGGCCAACCGTCCGTCGACGGTCGTCGCCATGTTACTATAGACCGAGAAAAAAGGAAAAAAAAAAAACGGTAAATTTACCGGTTTATAAACGCGAAAAAAATAAGCCCGGTCAAACGCGAGGTTGTACATGAAAAACTTTAAAACGTATGGCCTCGGTTCCGGGAAGGAATAACGACTGACCAATCAATTTTTCTAAAAATTGTTTTGTTTTTTAGATTCTGATCGGAGCGAGGAATGTACCAGCTATCGCATGGTTTTAAAATGATGCGTACGAAAACTCCACCAGAAATCTTGCTCCGAAGTGTCAAGTGCCGCGATTTTTCTGAAAGGGAACCGGACTGGGATGGTATACTTCAGGAAGATGATTTTTTGATTATCCCGGAAGTTTTCACAATAAATGGGAAAAACGGGAAAATGTACGAAACGTATTATTTTCAAATCGTAAACAATGCGTTACGGCCTTTTAAAACATGCGCAACCGAACACTGTTCAGAATCGTTTTTTCGTTAGCGAAGATCAACCGTCGCGTACGGTAATACGCGTTAAACTCTCCTCTATATCCTACCTTCCCGACAATTCGCCTACACCAGTGGCGAAGTATGTCCATATCGGTTTTTTTTTTTTTATACATATTTTTTGTTTCGGTTTAAACCACACGACAATCGTTAACACGTTCGCGCCGGACTTTTATTCGAAAACGTATTTAATTGTGCGCGTAAACGGAATCTTCGTAAATACCCGGGAGGGTTTACCGTCACGGGCAGAGAGTAGTGTACGATCGACCCGTCCCGGCGGGACGCCCGCGCGCGATCCGTTTTCGCCGGGAAACGGTCGATTATTCATCGCGGACCTTGTTAAACGCCGTCGACGTTTTTCGCTCGTCATAAACGAAACTCGCCCGCGCGGACCGCCGCAGAGAACCCGGGAATTTTCCCCGGCGGCGCAATATACCCGTGTACGCGCATATTACGTATGTATGTGTGCACACGCGCGCGCGGCGATATTTTTTCCGCCGGGGCCCCGGAACACTGCAATTTGTTTCGCCGGCGCGCGGACGACGTCGGCGACGACGACGTGCGCGCCCGCCCCGCGTGCACACGCCGCAACCGCGCGGCGCGGTACGCACGTCGTGGCGAACTACCTATGTACGGTGCGAATACGTACGTGGCGAATACGTGCGAGCGTATGCACACCCGACGGAAATGGAAAACCGCGACCTGCGAAATACCCCGCGCGCCGGGAATGGCGGCGGCGGCGGCAACGGCAACGGCGGTGGGGTGTGGGGCGGGGGGGGGGGGGGGGCAGCGGAAACAAAAAAACTCGGGGGAAAAAAAAAAAAACGGTTCCGGGGAAGAGCGCCGCGGCGGCGGCGGCGGCGGCGGCGACGACGACGACGGGGCAATAATGTTGTACGCGGTAAGTGAAAACAATTTGAGTGACAGGCCGACCCGCGAGCGCGGGTACAGACCCGAGTGCAGTACGCGCGCGCGTATATATACACGCGTTGAAAAGAGAGTTCCGGACAGTTATAAATGGCCGAACGGCGCGGTTATATGCGCGCGTACGCGAATTCACCCCATCCACCCCCTCTGCCTTCCCCCCCACCCCAAACGTCACCTTATCCACCGTCTCCCCGTCACCGTCGAAAAATCGTCGGGACCTACGCGGGCGCGTGCACGTCGGGGTGGTTTCAAAATTGTGTTTATTGAAACCGAGTGTGTAACCGTGTACGCGCATATAATACGATTGTGACACGTAGTAGTGCGCGTATTATGCGCGCCGCCGCCGGCGTGTTTTCGAGATTTTCCCCGGTCGAATTCGGATACCGCGCGGTGTCCGCGCTAAAACCACAAGAATAGAAAAAAAAAAAAAACCTATTTGTATTTTCGATTTTTAATAACCGAGTGAATCGAGTGATCGTACGGGCATCGGCGCGCGCACGGCGGTGCCGGGTTGTAGGCGGGAAGAGGGGTAGGTACTCAGCGCGCGCCCCCCGGATCCCGAGCTGAATAAATTCAACGCAACACCCGAATCCAGCACTCGGATACGAGTGGTCATACGCTGTTACGCTGTTGTGTATTGAATTCGGCGGTGATGGATTTAACGTCAGGCAAGTAGGCGCAGTTGCCCGGGGCGGTGATTTCACGTCAATAGTTTATTGAGAATACTAGTATTTTTTTTTTTTTTTTAGATTTTGTACGGTTGATTTTTAATCTTTACAATTATTGAAGGAAACCTACCTATAATTTGCAGTAATGCATTTTCATAATCCAAAAGTTAATTTCGTTACGTGTACGAAAATCCGAGAGATAAAATTGTAATAATATTTTTCTTCGCGACTATGGAATGGAAGGCGGCAGAATAGTGAATAGGTATTATCCGCGTGTTTATTCCGATTAGACATCCGATTATTTTCAACACAACACTCAAGGCGGATAGACTTAATATCCGTGTATTATTGTTGATGAGCAAACACTGTATTTAACACTATAAGTTTATGCGAATTGTTTGCATATTTTTAAGAATGTACGGTCCGTCCCCTGTTGCAGGTTAATTATTGGGCAATGATTAGGCAATTCACTATTGATGATCGGATCTCAATATTTCAATTGCGTTTATTTATACCGAGCAAGGAATATACGATTTTATTTTGAAATGTTGAACAGTGTTGCGGGTGTGAGGGGCAACCACTCCTACCCCGTGATACCGTATCGTAAATAATTTTAGCTCACCCGAATTTCAGACTGAATGCGCGTCAATGTTATATCAACGTACGCCTAATAGGTACACAGTGGGGCACGCGGGATTTTTTTTTTCGGGAGAGGTTTTGTTCATGATAATCTCCTGGAGAGGCGCGTAATATCAGTACAATAGGTGCCAATCACCGTTGTTATATTGTCACGGTAATGTCATCTCGACGATACGCGCTCGTCTGCCCCCCGCCCATCCGAGGATTCGCCGCCGCCGTACGGAATCGAAAGAGCAAACCGGCGCCGGGCCCTTCGGCCCGGGAAATTCGCGCGAGACTTTCCGAACGGACGCCGCCGCCGGCGTATCCCGAAATCGAATCGGACGGAAAGTCGGAATTTTTTTCCCCCCGTTTTTTTTCTTTTTTTTTTTTCTTGTTTTCGTGTTCGCCGCTCGCGGCATTTTTCCGCACGCGTCGAGCTATTATACGCGCGTACCGGGTGGGGGGGGGGAGGCGGGCGTAATTGAATGCGACGCGCGCACGCGGTCCGAGAATGCGATGCGCGTTGTGCGAACAACGCCGCGGCAACGGGCGGCGGACAGGGGTGCGGGCAGGGGAAGGGCCGCGACGGCACGTCACGCGCGTTTCAAACGGCAAATTATGTCACTGTTATGACACGCGCGAGTACCTATATCATAATAATACGTGTGCGATCGCCGAGCGAGACGTCGCGCGTAACAGAAGGAATCGCGCGCCGGCGCCCGCGCGTGCGTGCGCGTGCGAGCGTCAAAAGCGCATAAAACTAATTGCGCGCAGCACGGCGGCGGCGCGCGCCCGGTTTGGTGGGGTGGCGGAGGGGTGAGGGGCTGTCCGTATCACCTGTACGGAGTTTTTCCGCCCGAGCCGCCGCGGTACCCCGCGTACACGCACACGCGTACACGATAATATGACGTCCGATCGGTTCGCTCAAAACGTTTGCGACGTGCGTCGTTTTCGGTATCGTCACGAACGTTATCGTTATTATTGTTGTTGTCGTTGTCGTTGCGGTCGCCGCAGTCGAACGTATTCGACTCGCGTCCGGCGAAAAAAATAAAAAACGAAGCGAGTACATTTTTGGCGGGCTGTTGTTTTACTCCGCGTTTTACGTTCACGTCACGAATACACCGAATACGCAGGCGCGCACCGGCCCGCGGGGGTGCCGCGAATCTCCGGGCGGGCACTGCTCATGTCGGGCCCTCGATTCATACACGGATACGCACCGTACACGTTCTCCGAATCCGATTTCCTTACACCGCCTTTGCGGCACAGCTTTGCGGTTTCTCACGCGCGCAGGTGGGCAAACAGGTAGGTAGGCAGACCGGTACTCGGAGAATGTTTACGGTTTTCCCAGTGATTTCCCAGTACAAAAAATAGAACCCACCGCGCCCCCGTCGGCACCGTGTTCCGTTATAAACAGGAACGGCTCGGAAAGTATCGAGGCTCCGCGTGGTCGTTTTCGCGGGGACTTTTATGTTTGGGTTGGTGGAGAGCAGCGGAGTACCATTTGTGTGGCGGTACGGCACGCGCCGTGTTGACACCGCTCTCTTCCGACCCAAACTTGAACGGTCGTTTCGAAAGCGTAAAACGACACGGCGGCCGGGGCGAGCGAGAAAAATTATTGTTTTCATTATTTTTTTTTTTTTTTACGCGAGATGATGTGTTTTTAACGTCTGTCGCGCGGTCGCCGTCCAATAAACGACCCGCGGCGTATTATATTCGTTTTCGTATACGCGCTACGGCAATATACGACACCCGGACCGCTGTGCGCGGTGCAGCATCCGGTGAAGCACAAATTGATATAGAGAAAAAAAAAAAAGACAATAATAATAATAATCATCCGGGATCCCCTTTTTGTTTTCCGTCGCGATTGTCGGCTTTGCGAACAACACGCGGTTTGATTGCGTTAAACCGTATTTTTCGTGACCGCACGAATACAGCGCGGAACAGTCGAGTTTTGTCAGTAATATGATGAAAACTACTGCGTGTATAATAGTATATGTGGATAAGGGCGATGGACCGAGGGTGGGGGGTGGTTGAAAAACAGAATCCGAAATTATACGTTAACCTCAATTCGATCGTTTCATTACGATAAATACTGTAAATCCTTAACGTTTTGTAATCGCTATAAAATGAATAATAAAAAAAAATAAGCGGTTCGGACGAACGCGCCAAACACATGACTGTATTACGACCGCCGTTTGAATCTGAATACATTCTGTTTTTTTTTATTATTATTATTATTATTATTATTATCATCATCATCATCTTTATTGTCTTGTTTTGCGTCGTCTAGATGACCGACACTTGCATTTCGATCGTTTTAATATTATCTAAGGTGCAATTATTATCTCGGTTTTTCGTATTTACAGAGAGAGAGACAAAGAATACACGGCTCGTCTTTCCCGAACACCGCGCGGGTTTCCGCGTATTGTTTCAAAATACGTTATCGCGCCGTTTATTATCTCGTCTTATCGGTCGATTACGCAATTGCACGCAACATTTAATACGTCTTACGAGCGACCGAGATATCAACGCGATATCTGACGGAGATCGTATCGCTCGACATAGTGTCAGCGTGTGTGCTCGTCCGGTACGTTCCGTTCGTTTTTCCGTCGACACGACTGCGAGACGGAGCGGTTCTCGCGCGGGCCCCGCCGAGTGGTAGGGGTGGGGGGGAGGAGGGGGCGCCGACGACAGACCCGTCGATTGGACCCCGGCCAAGCCCGCGGGCGCGACGATGGCGATTCGGCCGAACGGTTTCGTCGGCCCCCGAACAACAACAATAATATTATTGTTTTTTTGTTTTTTTTTTTCTGTTCTGCGGGGCCCGGGAATTCGGTACGGCCGCGGCGACGGCACGGATGCGTTTAAAAATAATCCTCGTGCCGTTTTCGCCGGAACCGCGGCCGCGACGACGCTGTGCGTTTCGGACGATCCGGCACTGTTAACCCGGACGGACAATCGACGGCCCGCGCGCGATTGCGTACCGGCAGCCGAACGAACACCGAATAACACCGGCGGCGCGATTTCGACCGTCGGCGAAACGCGGCGCGCCGACGCGCCCGGGCCCGCCGAGGCGTTTAGAGGCCCCCCCCCCCGGGGCCGAACGTTCTCGTCGGACCGCGGCAAACGCTCGTCGTACGCAGTTTTCGCGTTGTCGAGTGTATAAGGGCGGCGCACAGCCCGCACGCCCCTCGTGACCCCCCCCCCCCCCCCCNCCCCCCCCGAGAAACGGCCTCGTCTCGCGTGAATCCCGTGACGTCACGCCGTTTCGACGTACGGGAGAGCCCGTCGTGGCCGTCGCCCCGAATCGGTCCGGGTCGCACGGTGAAAACCGTGCGTGTGTCGCGGCGACGTGATCGAAACGTTATAGGCGCGACCGGGTCACGTCGGTTTAGCGCGCGTATCACACAGCACGCAAATGCGTGTGTATCGGGACGGCCTCGACGATAACCTGCACCCACACGAACGATAAGGCGGACGACGAAAAATAAAAACGACGATGAACAAAGACTGTGTAAAAAAAAAAAAAAAAAAAATGTGACCTCGGAGGAATGAAAAAAAAAAAATTCCCGCTTGTGTAGAATAATCGCGGTCTATCGTCGTCGTCGTCGTCCTTTCGTATCGCGCGATTGCGGTGACGAATATACGAAACACATAAAGATTTTAATAATAACGAGAGCGGCGGCGAATGAGAAAAAAAACCGACGTGATGTAGTGAGAAGAAAAAAAAACACCGTAAAATAATATCGTAAATAGAAAATACCGAGAACGTAAAGGCGTAGACACATCGAGAAACCGACACGCTACGGTGACGTCATTTCGGCGTTGTTCGACTGGGGCAAAGTTTTCGCCAACGGAAAGAATGTTGTCATTTAAATTCTGAGCGGAGCGAGGAACGTATCGGTTTTGCTACGTTATGATGTGCGGTTTTATTTTTATTTTTTTTAATTTGTAAAAAAAAAACTTTTCTGCGAGAAATCTCGCTCCGATCGTAAACTTTACAGGAACTTACGTGTAGGATTAGTTTCGGTCTAGTCGGTGAATTAAAAATGTCACCATTTTTTTTTTTTTTTCTATTATTATTTTCCTTGTAGATTTCATAATAAACGAGATCAACCGGCCGGTAAAATTTTTGCCGATTTCCGGGTTACCTTATATTTTGACGACGCGAAAAGTGTACGAGTAATGATATACTCAGAATCGGAATCGCTTTTCGTTATAGCGTCGGGGTTTATCGTTGTGTACGGATACAAATCGAATCGCTCTACAACGATTTCCCTCCCCCCCTTCATACTTACATTCTGAAAAAGTGGCACGCCCATCGGCAGTATTATAGCTAATATTCGTAAATGTTTTTTTTATCGCCAAACCGAGAAACGTCTACGTCCGATCGAGTCTGTATTACCGACTTCTAAAACCGACAAATTCCGAACGAATCGCCGTGCAGCTTTGACCGGGACTACTGTGCGGGTCGTCCGTCCCCCCGCCCCTCAAACGGCGCCACCGCACGTAGCCGCAAACGGCATACGTTTTCGCCGCCAACAGTTTTGTCTTTGTATAAAAACGCCCCCCTCTCCCTCCCCCTTCACCGTCCCCCCACCCCCCGAAACCGAACGACGGACGATTAGCGTCGGGTTTTCAGTGTGTACCGTGCGCGGACGACAGTGTTCTTGGCCCGCCCGTGCGCGGTTTTCGGGTCCCCGTCGAAATACTGCACGCGCGTAACGCAATAAAACGAAAATTATTATAAGATCGCAAATGAAATTATTCCGACCGCGCGCGCGACGTTAAATTCCAAATCGTTTACGGTATTACGCCTCTATAAGTCCGCCCGGATTATGAATAATGTGCGACTGTATTATTGCGTTATACGCAACGTTATACACACACACACACACGCGCGCGCGCACACACATACACACACACACACATGTACACACATGTACACGAAACCACACGCGATAAATCACCATCAACCGACTCTCGGCCGTCCGTACTCGTACGACGTACAACATAATATTATGTGTATAAAGGTATAACGGTGCGGCGGCGGTTCGAGGATAGACGTGTACGTTCGGGGGAAGGAGAGACGGATAGGCGGAGAGAGTGCGAGAGTGAGAGAGATGGACGAGAAATCGAAAAAAATAAAAATAAAAATAAAACATTATATGTAAACCGAATTCTTCGCCCAGCACTGTGATACAAGTATATACAGAGTGATAACGATCCGGCGGTCATCTCTCCGGTCCTAGAGTGCAGAAGGGCTCAAGTCGATTTTCACTTTTAAAAGTGTACACACGCAACACGGTGTTACGCGGAACATTGAAACCGTCTTACAAGTCACACTGTACGACGGACTTTTTGTTTGGGAAAAAGGCGTGATGCGAGTCATGACTCGAGGGAACTGCGTGCGAGATACTACACAAGGCAGGAGAGTTTACCGTGTAAATCGTGATTTCAATAGTAAAAAAAAAAAAAAAAACGGGTCGTGCGCAAGCCCCGAAAATTATGACCTATCGGATTTGCTGTCGGAGAATTGTTCGGCTTTTTTAACTGTAAATGTTGACGATTAGTTAATAGCGATTTTGAACGATTGGTTAAATACCACGAGCACGACCGTTGGGCCGTTTAGCATTTTAGCCATTGAGCAATAATTACGCCATGTGTTGAAACCTAAAAGAAAAACGACTTCAGTCTTTCTTCCCTAGGACCGGAGATTTATGTAAGAAAATTATGAAAGTGTAAAATTGATTAAGGTTTTTTTTTTTCAGTCTTTCCACAATTTGGAAATTGTTTCAGCATTTTACCATTAAAATTTATGGAAATCGAATGGGGGCCGTTAAAACTGGGAGGCACTGGTTAACGTTTGTTTTCCGTATTAACCGGAGGGGGGGGAGGTGAAAATTTCGAAAAAACGTTTAAATATAATAATACATCGACGGTGTTTTATCAAATTTCACTTTTATTTTCGGGAAGCAAAAAAATAAAAACTGTTTTGCAAAGAAACGGCAAAATAGTTTTTAACGATCGTGGAAAACAATCGAGTTCTCGTACAAAACTCGTGCACAATGTTATATACGTGCATACTGAATGTGGTGTACGCCGATTAAAACGGTTCAGTGTCGATTTAATTATACTTAAAAAGGGCGTCTGATATCGGATATCTTTTAATCGACGTTATACCAATTTAATTTCCAGTATCTGCGTACGCCCTTTTTCCGGTTTACGTTCTTAATTTATCAGATCTTTTTTTTTTTTTTTTGACCTCCGAAAACGTATTTTACGATTCGCAGCGTTACACCCCCTGCTTTTAACGAAACACCGCCGATAATAGGTACACGAGTGACTTTTAAACGGTCGCTGCTGTGAATCCAATACGCCTGGAAAAAAAAAAATCCCGCGACAAACACGCGCACCCTGTACAATACGGGTGCGTCATTTCGCCGAACAGTTATTGTTACGCGCGAACGTAAACGATTTACGTAGGGATACGGCGCCCGTCGTCGTGTACGTATATTATAGAAAGAAAAAAAAAATAAAAAAACAATACGTAATTATTATTGTTATTATTATTATTGTTGTTGTTGTTGTTTTTTTTTTTATTGTCTGCGTTCTGGCGAAAATCCGTGCGACCGCGCGGGGCCCCCGAAGCGGCCGCGCGTCGCGCGCGTTAATCGAACGCTAATTACCGGGCGATCGCGCGCCACCGGTTTTACCGGTTTTCGTGGAAACGCGCCCGTAAATCACGCGGCGCGTCCCGTTTCGCCCGTCGAGCAGCCGCCCGCCGCCGCCGCCGCCGCCGCGCGCGAGCCACAAATCATATTTGATAATATTTAAATATCGCGCGTTCATATTATACGCACGGTACGAACGGTTATTATTATTATTATTTTTTTTTTTTTTTAAATGATATTTTATGCGCGCCGCGTACGCAACAATATCGCCGTCGTTATTGTGTTAATGCGCGCGCAGTAATAGTGCCGTATTAACACGCGAGAAAAACGGCGGAGAGAAAAAAAAAAAAAAGTAAAAACAACGAACGTTATTCCGTTCGTTATTTATCGGCGCGCGCGCCGCGACTACCAGTTGCGCTCGGCGTGTGTGTTTTAAATCAATTTTCGACACCGCACCGTCGCGGACGACATAATAATAATAAAAAAAAAAAAAGAAAAAAAAAAAGGTTAAACGCTCTTGTTATTTCGAGGAGGGGAGGGGGCGGCGAGTAGGGACGACGGGGGTAAATGTTGTTTATACAGTACGCGTAGGGGAAATAAAAATAAAAAAGAATACGCGCCGCGCAACGACGACGGCGGCCGAGAGACGGAGAGAGAGCGAGCGAGGGAGAGAGAAAAAACCACCGCCGGCGCGGCGTCGACCCGAGAGAAATTTATGGCGTTTAGATTGGGTGCCCGGGATTCCTCGGCCTGTCACTCGGCCCGCGGCCGCCGCCGCCCGGAGACGTCTCAGTCGTTTCGGCGTCGCGGGCCGCGCAACGGAAACCGGCGGATTTCCCCGCGCGTACGCAGAGGGCCCGGGAAATTTACGGGTTTTCTCACGCGCGTACGCGTGAGCCGTTGGGGAACCGGAGAATAACGAAGAATGAGTGCCCCGCGGACGCGGCCCGGCGCGCGTTTACCCGCGGGCCGCGGCCCTCCCCGCGGGGCCGCCGCGCTGTACACCGCTAATAGATCTCGCGGACTTTTTGGCGGCGCACGGTAAAACGCCATGGGAATTGGCGGCCGGCGCGCGCGTCGATTTTCCTCCGTGCGGTCCCTCGCGTCGCGTGTGCGCACGTCGCGCGTGCGCGCGAGTGTGTGTGTATTTATTTTTTTTTATTTTTTTATTTTTTTCAGGCCAAAAGGGAAACGGTTTAATTGATACACGCCCGGAGATCGTAAATCAAACGTGAGATTTCGTGCGCGCGCCCGTGCAGCGCACCGTGTGCGTATACGCGACTCTCGGCAAGGGACGAACGGCGCGGCGTATGCCGCACGCACACGCGTATACAGGCGGAGGTCGGGATGTCAAACGAACAAAAAAAAAAAAAAAAAAAAAAAAACAGGAAAAAAAAAATAACAACAATAAAAAATTCCGCCGGAGAAAATTGATTTTTATTATTTCGTCCGGATTCTCTCGTTGTTGTTGTTGTCGTTGCGTTTGTCGTTTCGATACGGTTTCCCGTCGGGTTATTATCGGAACATACGCGAGTGCCTAAATTTCTATAATCACGGTTTATTGTTGTTGTTTTTTTTTTTTTAATTACACCGCGTTTTTCACCCACACGTGTGTCGGCGATGCGGCGTCCGGCGACCCGCGTACGGTACAGTTTAGGTACACCGAACCGCATATTGTTTCGGCGATATTGTGTACGGCACAACAATCGGATCGGCGCTTTTTTTCGACAATTAGGTCGCCGCCGGGATCGGCGAACGGTAAAAAATTAAAAAAAAAAAAAAACCACGTTTACCCCCGGTCACTCCTGAAGGTCGTCCGACGGTAAACTGCGCCGCACGACGAACGAAACGTTTTAGCCACGATGTTAACGTTGCCGTCGTAACTCGCGGGGAAACACGAAAACGCCTAAAAACAGTTCGAAAATCGAGTTTTTTTGAGAAAATTGAGAAAAGTTTTGACAATTATTTGACAGCGTCTAGAAAAAAATACCGATGTAATAATATTGTTCTGTGAACATTTTTCGGTCATTGCACAGTTGACAAAAAAAAAAAAAAAAAAATCAAAACCCGACGCCCGCAACCGAAACGCAACGGCAAAGCGCCTTGGGATTTTTCGATTCGAGCACGTTTTCTGACGGTAAAGGTCGTTTACAGACACCTATAACATTGTAATAAAACAAAAAAAAAACCATGGTTCGATATTTCTCGTTCCGCTCAGAATATAAATATTAATAAAACAGTTTTTTTTTTTTTTGAACGCGCGGTATCGTCTGTGAATCTCGATGTTCTGCGAAAAATATCTTTTTCAAGGCCTTGTAATAACGATAGTATAATATTAAGTCGGGTTAATTGAAGAAAAAAAAAGAAAAACTGTTAACGCGCGTCCGGCGCCGTCAAGCGCCGGTTTAACACCGAGTAAAAGTCTTATTTTCAGTTTGTAAAAACTGTTGCCGGTTCGCAGTGCATAGACTGTAAATTTAATAAAATTCTCGCGCTGACGCGAGTTAAATGTGAAAAAAAAAAAAAAAACCCGCCGTTCATAAATAACCGAATTAATTACCGTTCGACCGAAGTGTTAAGAACACAATCCGACGAAACAAATCGCGCGGCGACGAACGCTTTTTGTCAGATCTCTTGCACGCGTGTCGACGACAGCATTTTCATCGCGCGCGCGGAACCGTTCGCTCCGGTCCTGCAGAATTCATAGTTTGCGAGCACGCCGATTTGCATGTTTCTGGCTTCGGACCGCGGACCCGGTTTAGGATCGGTGCGAAAAACGCACGCCCGGCCGTGAAAAACGCGTATTTTTCGTCAAGCGGCCGGCGTACGTCACGTTTGAGAAACGTCGTCCGAGTTGTACGTCAACCGACCGTACGTCTCGGATGTTATTTCCGTCCGTCTCCTAGAGTTACGCGGCTCAGCGGTAATGGATGGCCGAATCGGTCAGAATCGGTTTTCGATCGCGTTTATACGTGAACAATCGACGTTACCCCGAACGGCCCTTGCATCGCATCCCGAATATTTCTCGTACACGTATACGTGTACGCTTACCCGCGACGACGGTGCAAAGTGCAGTACTATAAATGCAGAGCTCGGGAGAGTTGAAGGAGCTGATAAAGGCAAACTGTGCACGAACAAATTCTAACATGTGCGTGACAAAACGTAATAAATATGCAAACAAATCATTCGGCTTATTATTCAAAAACGTGTAGTGTCATGTTATTTGTACGCAAAACTAAGGTAAAGATTAAATGCGTACGGATCGCACCGTTGTCGTTAAATTGATAACAGACTGAGACGGTAAGAAATAACAATAAACAATCGCGTTAAAAAATATTGAATTTTGAAAACCGGCGAAATATGCCTTCAACCCCCCCTCCCCCACCCACCATAAACTTAATGAAATATGCAAAAAAATGCATTTTAAAAGTTTTCAAACAGAAAGTATTTCTAACTCGATCTGCTATACGCCGGTTCAGCGCATACAGAAAAATACGCAACTCCCGTAACTTATCCGAGGGCTGAATTCGCAATACATCCGATTTTTTTTAAATATATTTTTCCGTCGATTTTTCGCGGTCCAATCTCTCGGGGATCGCGCTATAAATAGTCTGTCTCTATTATCTCGAACGCCGTTACCTACACGCATAATACTTGTATGTAAAACAAATTAAAAAAAAAAAAAAAAAAAAAAAAAAAAAAATTATAATATATTCTCTTATAATACGGCGGACACTGCGCGGGCAATAATAATATAATAGCGCGGTAGTAGGTTTTTTTTTTTTTACAGAAAGGAGACTACTATTATAACACAGTCGTCGTACGTATAGGTATATAGGAAGGAGGCCCACGCCTCTGTTCGGCACATAAATCATTTCACAAAACACACTCTATATGCTACATAATATATAATATAACGCGCTTAAAATATAAAAATCTTTGAACGGTTTTTTTTTTTTCTTTATCATTATTATACATACTCGTATAAATATATATATATATATATATTGTAATATTATTAAAATTAAAAGACAGAAGACGGGGAAAAAAAAAAAAAATTAAAAAAAAAAATACTTTGCCAGAACACTGTACTGCATCACACACGGAAAGACACGCGTGCGCGCGCGCTCTCGCGCGGTGAATAAAGTTTTAATTATAACTTTCTTTTGTCGCCGCCGCCAAAAAGACAAAAATCCGTTGATTTCGACGTTTATACAAAACATAAATCACGCGAACCGAATGCCGCGGGCCGCGGCAACACGTTAATATATTACACGCAGTAACGCTATAAACTCTTCTCTAATATTATTATTATAATAATATTGTATATATTATAATATTATATATATATATATTGTGTGTGTGTGTGTAAAAAATGTATAATATACAGGGTGGTTTTTTTTATTGTTTTATCTCAGCGATTGTTTTTACGCGCGATTTGACACGAGTCAAATTTCGTTTATTTCAATTGTTTTCCGCGGTCGTCGGGGATATTTTTTTTTCAAATATTATCGCCCCGTATACGCACCCTGTCGGCCTAACCCAATCTAACCAAACCGTATCGACATTCGAATGGCCAACCCTCTTCCGTTATCAAACACGCAGATTCGTCAAGGTCTTCGTCATAAACACTCGACGAGGTACTTGAACGAGTGCGAATTAAAAAAGTTTATAACATAGACGTTACTCCTATGCAATTTTTTTTTTTTTTTTTTGGAAAAAATTGTCGAATTTGAAAGTACCGGCGGGTGCCGTTTGAAAATCAATAGTTAATGCCCGTTGTTTCGTGGTGTATTCGGGGAGTTCGAGGGTACGGATATTTGCGAATTGCGGTTGAAATAACGTAACCAAAACAGATCTTTAGCCGCATCGAGTCAAACGGGGTCGATTGGCCAATAACACCACGCTTGTTTTCGGCAAGTTTTAGGGTCTCTAAAACCTCCGTGCATTACAACTACGATCTCAGGGAAATAAGATATCAAGTGGACCGTGTGCCGGGCAGTAGAACAACAGTGGCGCACAAAACGATTAACGGGAATCGCAATCGTTTTGACCGTGTGGCGAAATGCATTTTTAAATCGAAAAATATTAAAGGCTAACCCCGACTAGAAAACGGATGAGAATCGTACGCGGTGTCGAGTACCGGGACGCAGGGGTCCTACGCGACGCTAAACGTGTTTCGAACGATTCTGTTACGAGACGTCCGGATAAAAATCCCAAAATCGATATTATACGCAGTAGCTGCAGCAGATAAACGCCGGATAAAACAAAAAAAAAAAAAAACAAAAATCACCCTGTATACTACACGCTGTCTACACGCGTATATGGAGCTCGTCTTTCTCGCGGGGCCCGCACAGGTGTTTACGCCGCAGTTTCCGTCTGGTTTGTGTATAATACGCTCCGTGGCCGTTCTCGTCGTGCTTTTCTCACGACTGCGGGAATACGTGTACACGTAGGTATTATTATAATATGTAATTTTTCTCCGTCGGGTTATTTTTTCACGTTACAATACATTATTATATTATGCTTCGGAGAAAACTGCATCCCTCAGTGTTTCATCATCGCTCGTACACACTTATTAATTTAGTGCTCGGGAGTTATAGGAGTTGCATATTACTCTGTACATGCACTGAATTTGTATGGCGGACCAAGTTAGAAATTCTTTCTACGCGATGCAGGGGTGTTTAAAAATTGAACTTTCGAAATGCGTATTTAGCATGTTTCGTTAAGTTTAAGAGGGGGGGGGGAAGATCGGCGGATTCAATTTCGCGCTGTTAATATAAATAATTGTTAAAGCAAATTGGCCTGTTATCAAACTTACAGGTGTAAATAAAATGTAAATACATTGCCCGGGGTTTGTGCGCTGGGTTTTTTTCGACATTTTAATTTTCAAGCGAGACGCGAGCATCACGCGAATTATTACGATTCAAAAACGTTTGTGTGTCGCTTAAAAATTAAAGGTAATAAAAAACCCCACGGTACAGTTGACACAGTCAACGCTCGTACCTTTATAATTTTGATAACAGGCCAATTCGTTCTGACATTATAAACCAAACAGCGAAAAATTGCTTCTACCGAACGAAATTTCGACATTATCCGGTTTTCAACATTGACCGTATACCATCGTACTATTATGGTTCGAAGAGAGTTTGCGAATCGGGCGACGCGTCTCTTCGTAATCGGAAAAAAAAACGGTCAACCGGAAACTGTTTAATTATAATGATATGCATAATAGTTTATCTACACTATATGTATACCTATTAATAAAACGAATCACGAATAAGCCGATTAGACTGTAAAACTTGGCCACCGCGTCCGACTTGGCGCGTTAAACGTATTAATTTTTCGATGGTTTTGACTGCATTAATTTTTTATAGACGTAATCAAAAGTTTAATACGTACGAGAGCGTTATTATTATTATTCATTTTTTTTTTTTTGTCCGCTTGCTCGATTCCCGCAATTAAATTTCAAGAAATCGAATTACTCGGTTTCGCGCGCGTCTGTACACGTATAATTTAATATTAATATTTTAATGAAAAACCAACTGTTTGTTATATTACGGATTCCGCGAATGTGGCGAGGTTTCATAATGGGATGTGCGTGAGTTTTTCTTCTCGGAAAACGCGTTTTTCGGTCGGTAAAAACGATCGCCAAATCGTTTACCGTGCCGTAAAAAATACCGATTCTCCGGCCCGGCATGGTATTACGTTGATTCGATAAAAAAACGTTTTAGATTCCCCCGACAGTGTAGCCGCATAGTTCTTAAAATTTTTAACGACGGCTACGCGACATTTCGGGTTTTCAATTCGGAAATGAAAACCCGCGAGCAAGACCTTTCGGATTAGATCATTCGGATTGGGCTGTGGTCGCTTAGCCGTTTCCGGAATTCGTATCGTTCCGCTCGCGTGTACTGCAGCACGGGAAATCGACTCGAGTCCTTCACCATCACCCCCCCCCCTCCCATCACGGAGGACCAAAAACGCGTTGATAATGATATTTCGTCCCCGGCGCGTTTTTCCGTGCGGGCAGACACTCGCGTGTCCGTACAACGCCCTCGAATATTTAAAAAAACCCAAAACGAAAAAGACAAACGCCCGTAAACGTCGTCGCGGCGATCGCGAAAGGCGGTAAGTAACGGGCGTGTGACGACGGCGGCCGATTCCGTGCAACGCTAACGCGCGTCGGCGGTTTTCTCGTGCGATCCGTTTTTCCCGCCGAAAACAAAAAAAAAAAAACCGCCGCCACCTCCTACGCCTGCACGGACTTTCGCGGTACGGAACGGTGCGGCCGCCGCCGTCACGGACGTCCGGTCCGGCGTATTCCCGTGGCGTCCTCTCCCGGCGCGTCGACGGTGAACGCGCACAACGTACACGCTTACCGCCGCCGCCGCCGCCACTCGCCCGACGCGGACACCGTCCAACGCCGCGTCGTGCGCTGAAACGTTCGGTCGGCGATTCCGCTATATACACGCGCGCGCCCGACAACAATAACAATAATAACGCGCGCGGTGGTCGTTGCGCTAAACGGACGCGCGTGAAATTGTACAGAACACGCGCGCGCGAACAACGGCCGCTCGTACGCCGCGCCGCGCGATCTATCGCCGTTTAATTGCGCGCGACGCACCCCTACCCCCCCCCCACCCGGGGGGCGTACAACGACACGCGCGTTATCACCGACGAGAAACAATCATAGCGCGGCAGCGACAGTGGTGGACGTGTCGCGGTGTTCTCCCGGTTGAAAATCCCGTATCGCGCGCTCTTTTTTTACGCCGAGCTGCGGGGGCGTTCGTGATACACGGCGAATCGGAATTCGCGAGTTTCACGAGCGCAGCCGTTACACGAGCGGCCCGTGTAACACGAGACTGTACAATACGGCGTGTTAAGGTTTCAAAAACGCCAATTCCAAAAGGGAGTTTAAATACGCCGAGCAAAAGTGCAATGTCGACAAATCTGCGCGGTTCGATTTCGTTCAGAGTTTATATGAAAACGTGGATAATCGATAAGAGCGCACATTGCGCGTACTGTGTTTTACGAATGAAAAGTCGGGTTACATATACCCACTCCCCTCACATCGGCTTGGAAATACAATACGAGTAATATACGTTAATAATCGAAACGCAAATAATATGTCGACCGAGTTAAGCGGAGAAAAGCTCGACGTATTGATTAGAAATCGGCGTGGTTTTTTTTTTTTTTAGAATCCGTATTTTAAATTACCGTTTCCCATCGCACACAGTCGAATTGCGTGGAGAAGACGATTTTACCATTTATTCGCGATTTTTATTTGCTGCGTCCCCTCCCGTCGAAAATTCCCGGGCACGCCGCCGGTAACAAACATTGTACAGGTAACGGGTTTAACAGATGATATTCACGCCGTACGTACAAACACTAGAGCCGATAACGCTTTTTTTTTTATAGAAAAACAAAAAAAATACGTTGCCGATACGTAAAACCGGTGCAAATCGTAACGTGTCCGGGAGTTCGTTCGGAGCGTCCACCGTGTATTATCGCTACAAGCACCGTCATGACAAACAAATTGATACGCGATTTGCACTGTGCACCGTGTGGGTTTTACTAACGGTTCGGAAAAAAACAACCTACACCCGATATACCGACATAGTATCGGCCGACATTCATAGCGGTTATCGGTATCGGCCCGGCCCTAACAATTATAAAACACACGAATATTCGCAACGGCTAAAAATGAATTGATTAAAAATCTGAACGAGTACTTTGGGACCTTCAAGACTCGAGGACCTCTTGGATCTCGACTGTCGCTGTATTTATCTATGCGGCACGCGAATATGTCCGTGTTCCTTTGTTGTACAATTGCGTTCACACGAGGGTTGAAGTTTTTCAGCGTATACGCGTCTGATGTATTATGGTATAGAGTAATGCGATTCGCGGTAAGTATTTCGCATTAAAAAATCGTTAGAAAAACTGAGAAATAAAAATATAATATACACTCTTGAAGATCGTAATCGTCAAGTGAAATCGCATAGTATTATAATAGTATACCTAGTATTGTTTGAACGTCGTTTTACTAATAATAATTAAGTATCGAAAAGTATACCGGACACTATAATAATATTACAGGTATGAAATGCGTTGTACGATAAAGATGCATTTTAAAATATCTAGATAAAGACAAGGGATAATCGCTACAGTTATTATCCAGATAATGATCAATAAAAATAATATATATATATATCTAGAATATCTAGATAGAAATAAAAAAAAAATTGTTTTCGTTATAACTGGATGCTAATAGTGCATCGGAAACGCATCAAAATTATTTAAAAAAAAATCATGGGATCGATATCAATTTATAACGGAATTATCTAAATAAACAAAATTATATTGTATGCTAAATTATACTTATAGGTATATATATAATAATTCAGTGTTGGAATGGGCGTTCCTAACAAATATAGAAACGAGGAACGCCAACGAATTCCTGTTTGTGAGGAATATGAACGCAAATGTCTATTCCTCCTATTATGAAAAAAATAAAATAAAATGAAACGCGCGTTGTATTAGTAATAATATTGTCTATAAATCATTCAATGTTGATATCACAACGTCAGCAACTAATAAATGATTTCATATTAATAATATAAAACAAATATTTTGGACTACATTAGACATGAGTAATAATAATAATAAAAAGAGGAACGAGTAACGGGAGAGAGTTCCTATTTCGCAGCAGGAACGGGAACGAATTCTTTTTTAAAAGAAACGTTGTTCTCTGCAACACTGCATATTATTATATATTAATGCGCGAGCGCTTTTTTTTTTCTGTTCCGCCGATAACCCCGCCTATGTATGTACGTAGTAGGAGGAAAAGAGACGTGCCGTTGAAAACGTATTGGCGAGTTGCATCAAAAAAATTGTACACATGTGCTATCGCCCGTTCAGACGGATAAAAATCGCATAAACGAAACGTCCGTTTTTCCAGTATAAAACGTTATACGTGTACAAATAACGTTTTGTAGTTATATTGTCGCCTACAATAACGTTTGTCTTGCCAATTTTCTGCTCTTGTAATAGGTTTTTCGTTTCAATTCTAATGTAGTCAGAAGCTATGTGTTAATTAGTTCTGTACGTAACTCTATCTGTTTAGAGATGTACGTTGATTCATTGTGTATATTTGGACACGATATGGAAACTTGTGGTACATTTCTTTTTCCATTCTATAACATAATATGTAATAACTGTCTGTCCCCGCCGCAAGCTTTCCTAACGCAGGTGGATTGATCGCTGGAATTCCATTTCAAGTGATAATGTTGTAAATTTTGTTTCGGTTTACTGATAGGAAAGTAAAAAAAAAAAATGAAAGAAGAAGCACGAACGCCGTTACACCGAACCGGCGCGCGCGCTGATAAACGCAATATTTTCGAGCGCGTTGAGTTCAAACCGATAATCAATAACGTTTTACGTTCATATTAATTATCGATTGTGTCAATAAAATCCCGTACAAATAACGAAACGAACCGTATTGGTTTTTTTTTTTTTTTTTCTTCGGTCGTTCGCCGCCGCCGGCCTATTATGGATAATATTTTGTCTGTGCGCGGGCCGTGCGCTGCAACACTGCAGACGGGGATACACGCGGTTGCACGGCAATATCGTACTAGTGAACGCGGAGATTCGGAAATAGTTTCCCGCCGTGATAGTTATAATGTTGTCGCGAACGCGTCCCCCGGCGTGATCTATTATGCTTTTTCGATAAAAAAAAATGAAATAAAATAAAATAAAATAGTAGCACCGCGACGAAAGCTATAGAAACGACACGCGCGCGCGCGTACGCACGAGACGGCGTGTTTTCGACGATCGAAAAGAAAAAAAAAATAATAAATAGGAACAGAAAAAAATAAATAAATAAATAAACCGAGTGGGCGAATCGTGAAACATCATAGCGGGCCGCAGAGACGTTTTACGTACGGAGGACGGCCGCCGCAGTGTTGGAACGCGGCGCGACAGTGAAATCGGTCGGGTTAAATGTGCCGTGTCTCTCGCCCAGAGCTTCGCGTACCGCGGCGGCCGCGCGTCCTTTTGACCGGCGCGCCAAAAAGGGGAGCGGCGCGGCGTGTCGTAATAAATTATCGAAACCGCGGAAACAGAAACACGGATTTGTAGAATACGAAAACGGACCGGTCGGCCCCAATTACCGGCGACGTTATCAAAGGACATTTCGTTCGTATAGGTGTCCTCGGGCTCGCGTAACAAAAACGACGACGACGCCGTGACGGGACCGCCGCTCGGGGGTCTCTAAAGGCGGCATTTACACTGGCGGTACGCGCACGCGCTCGCGATTATTATTGTCGCTGTTGTTATTGCTGTGTAACGCGCGTGTAAATATCGCGACGGCGACGGCTGACGACGATATCTGTTGTTCGGCGTGTTGTTTTTTTTGAAGGGGCCGACGAGCGGGGACCGCGATGCCGCGCGGGGAGAGGACGTCGTAAATTATCGGCGGCCGCGAGCCCTCCGCCGACGCCCGCGGCCCGGCCGGGCGTTAATTAAATAACTGTAATGGAGACGATAGTAATGATGATAATAATAATAATAATAATAATATCGAAACGTATACGCGCGCGTACGTAGCGTTTAAAAGGAAATAAACTGCTTGTAAAAATCATTATATACACACGCGCGCACACACGAGTGTGTATTAATACGAGTGCGGCGCGCGTTACAAAAAATAAATTCCCGATGAAGACGTTTTTTTTTTTTTTTTTACGGGCTGCGCGTGGCGGTCAGATTCAATTCGTGTCGGAATGATTTAAACGCGTACGTGCGGCGGCGGCGGCGGCGGCGGCGGCGGCCAATAAAACAGAAAAAAAAAAAAAACAAAATGTACTGGACACCACTCACGCCTATACGCCAGTAATAATAATAACGAATAAATCCTCGTTCCGCTTTTGCGCCCGTACGCACCGTATTGTGCGCGTATCAATGCGTGTTGCCCCGCTAATCGTTTACCGTGAGACGGCGTAACGCGCGCCCGCCAACCGTTTTGTCGGGCCGGATTCCCCGCGAAATCGCGGCGCGGACGAATCCCCGGACCCGTCAAAGTCCGGAAAATCCGGATTCACGTCGCGCCGCTATGTCGCAACGGTGCCGCGGGGTCGCGTGGTGTCGACACAGAGCTCTGCCGGCCGGCAAATCTGTACGGTAGCGCTGCCCGCGGGCACGGCGAACACGCGTGTCGAAACGCAATAATAATATCCGGGAGACGCGGATGACTATTTTCGCGTCCGGGTACGGGGCGCGTACGGGTTCGGTGTATTCGGATGCCCGTGACACGCGGAAATATCGACGGTGATGGTACGGCGAACGGATGTGGTCGGGACGCTACAGGGCTGCCGACCGCCGTACCGGAGTGCCGGTTTCGGTGTTATTTTTGCGAAAAAAAAAAAAAAAAAACCGTGTATTTTTATAAAACGGATTTTCAACAATTACGATAAACTTCGGTTCGAGGCGCTCGCTAAAACGAAGCGCGCTGAGACCCGTCTACTAGTATGTAAGCCGCCGTGAAATCGGTCCCGATTATCCCGGACTTCCAAACGCGATACGTCCCGCACGGGTGTGACGGCGACCGTGAAAATAACGTGGACACTGCGGGCCAAACGGTGTTCGCGTACATTACGATATCGGCCGGCCGATTTGACCGCCGCTATCGCTATCCGCTATTTACCGCCGCTCTATTGAGAAACACAAATTTCTATTGGAAACTATACTCGTACGGTAAACCGTATATCAAAAACGCGCACGCGTACACGTGATATTATTGGTGTGTACTACGCGCGATCGGTCGCCCGAAACTGGTGAGAATTAAACGATAAAAAAAAAAAAAAAAAAAAAAAAAAAAAAAATCGCGGTTTTAGAGGTGTACGAGTATACGGTTACTGGTTATGCACGTCGATGGGCGCGACGACGGTAATAAATCTTATTGCCGGGGTTGTTGCCCGGTCGTCCCTCTCGTCAAGTCGCGGCCGCCGCCGCCGATCGTATATCATGAAATAATAACGTCGAGTTATTGTTGTTGTTGTTGCAGTTTTGACGGAAATCGTGTGCGCATTCCGGGTGTTGATCGCCGCATAATATTATCGTTATAGGTAATCCGCGTATAATTTATACCTGCTGCGGCGAATGCGAGCGCGTAAAAACTCTTTGAGACGATTAGAGAGAAAAAAAAAAAACCGTGAAAAAAAAAATTCCGCGCGAATTCGAACGGTCCCGAAATATCTGCGAATTTCGAAACACCTCCGTGCGTTAAACGATAACACCTTTTTACACGTGGCGGCCGGAACGGGGAGGGAAGAACGGCTGACGAATCGTATGACATTAATTAACAGCGGGGGGGAGAGAGGAGGAGGAGGAGGAGGAGGAGGAGGGAAGCAAGACCGGCTCGACCTACGCGATAAATCAGTCGGGGTTTTTTTTTTGTTTCCAAGGAAAAGAATCGTACGGAAAAAAAACCGACGTCCCGACATTATAATATTAATATTATATTATGTACCGTGCGATAATTATTGCGCCGCCGCCGTCATTAACGCGACACGACGATTATATTTTTACTCTCGGATTCACTTCTTTACACCGTCGCGTCGGTACCGTCCGATGGAAAATTCGGTTACGTTCCGTCTGTTTTCATTCAGCGGTTTCGATGAGATTTAATAATAGACGCGGGACCGTCTTCCACGTGCGCGCACGCACACACACAAACACACGCACACACGCACACGAACAAACACACACACACACAATCGCGTACACGTTTAATTTATAATTTACGAAATGTGAAATCGGTCGTTTGCGTGTGCGTAAGCCACGAGTTGATTTTAATTGTATTATCATATTATACAGTTACTATCGTCACGACAAAACGAATTTAAAAAAAAAAAAATGACGAAGACGAAAATAATGACAACGTAACGTTTCCAGAACGTACGATACGGAAAAGCGTTCGCTCAAAGCGATTTTCTTTTAAGGAAAATATGTATTTCGCGTGAAATCCGAACGGACCTGCGTATACGATAATCGTGATTTTTTTGATTTTTTTTGTTCGCGGCACAAAAAAAAAAAAAAATGGCCCGCGTCTTCCGTAAAAATCCGCGTCGCGCATCCGCCGGGAGTTCAAATGCGTTACGGCCGCCGCGACGGGCGATCCGGTTATTCACGCGCGCATCGGTTTCACAATATTATCATAATTGTATCGAGTTGCTTTATATTATTATTATTATTATTATTGTTATTATACGAGCGCGCACACACACACACATACGGTTTTTCGGTCCGTAAATTAAAATAATGTGTAGGTACGCGTTCCGACATCGCCTGTACGTATGCGGGGTCGACTAATTACAATGACGTGCGGCGAGCGCTGGAAGACGCGTACGCGTACGCGTTCGGGGCGCACACGTCGTGCGTTGTAGCGACGCGGTTTTCGTTTCGCCGGTAAACGCCCCCGTCGACGGTACGCGATCCGCGGCCGCGCGTAACGCGACGCGCGCGCGCGCGCGCGACAATCGCAATTATCGGCGCGGCGCGGGCACCGTACGAAAATGCGTACGCGCGCGCTACGCCACGCGTAGAACGCGGAGCGGGGCGGCGGCGGCGGCGGCGCCCGGAGGCGTATGGACGAGAGACTCGGACAATAATAACAATAATTATTGTTACCGTTACGGGTATTGATACGACCGATGTAGTTATTAAAAAAAAAAAAAAAAAAAATACAAAACCCGCGCTCATTACAACGCCGTCGACATCGATAACGTCGTTATCACGGCGGCGTCGGGTCCCGGACCCTTGTAGGTTTCGACGGGCAATAGGTGCGCGGTGCACGGCGTTTCGGGTCCGGTGGGTCCCGAGGCGGTTCGGCCTTTCCGGCCTCGTTCGTTTCGCAATTCGCCACCGGTCCGGACGGTCCGACCGTTCTCTCGGCCCCGGTCCGGTTTGAACACGTCCGCCGCGTAACAACGAAACAATTACAACGCAGCCTGACGGGCACACGTAGGAAAATCAACTATCACGCGGGTCCCGGGGCGAACGCGGCGATGAAATTAATGTAATTTCGAGTTTTTCGCGTTAATAACCGAACGACCATCGCGCGATTCGTTAGGCGCGGTTCGCTCTTTGGCCATCGCCTATTTCGAATCCAGAAAATCGTATTATCATTTTTTTAATTATATAACGCGTACATGATAAATTAGTCCCAGACAGTTCCGGCCCGGTCCGGTTCGGTCTTAATACGTTTAAACACAGTCTGGTCTCGGTCTAATTCAGTCGAGAAAATAATTAACTGGTCCAGTCCAGTCCAATTCCACGATTTATTCCGTTATTCCGGATCGGTGCCGGTTTTAATTTTACTTCACTGGTCCGGTCCGTCCGCCGAAAAATCGTACCGTGCAGAGAACTCCGGTTCGGTCGCGACGAATTTCGGACACTATATTATGCCGGTCGGACCCCGGCTTTCGGCAGGCAATATGCTAGTTGGGTCAGAACGTTTAAACGAAAACGCGTAAAACCGTTTCCCGTTTCACATTTTAATACTCCGGGGGACTCGCGATTTGTTTTGCCGGGACCCGGGACCCAACCGGTACGCTACCCGCATAGACCCGGATGCGCCGTTTATTATATTCCGCTGTCGACATCGATTGTCCACTGTTCGAAAACGGTAGTTTTATGTGTTGTATGTTTTATATGAAAAAAAATCCGATCGTTGTTGGCACCGTCGTTGGTAAGCCACCGCGGGTAAGTAGATTTATTCGTTCGCAGTCGCGTAATTTGCGCTAGGCCTTGTGGGGGAGTGGGGGAAAGGACAATGTTTGATATTCGTAGAGAACCGGAGGCCACGAACTTATTGGCTGAGGGTTATTTTCAATGGGAAATGGTTGTAGGGTTTAGAAAAAAGAACGGCCGTCACAATTAAGTATATTATTTTTAAACACATGAACAAGACAATTAGTAGATAGCGAGTAGACAGAATTATAGATACGAATGACAAACGAATCATACGATTTCCAGGTATAAATAATAAATCTACTCTTACTTGGCTTCGGAGCCGTTTCATTCGGCATGTACTCTGCAGGATCTATCGGTGCATTACTACCGGCATAACCAGTTCGATGTAAACCGATTTTAATAAACAAAATATTTATTTATAAGATATGTATAATGTTTGTATAGTATCTTAATTTTCGTTCATACCTCATCACGTCGTATTCCGGCAATATGTTTCGATCCTCTTTAAAGTAGAAAACACCATGCATTCAGGCGTAGTAGTCGATACAAATAACGTAAGTACATAATACTTTAATCAAAGAAAAAAAAGCGAAGGGGGAGAACGGACACCCGGTTTATTTCCTCCCTCCTGATGATTACGCCACTACTCGTTTGCGTCACACGGAAATAACGATGAATCATTGCATAGGAAAAATGATTCTGAGCGGAACTCGGTAAAGTATTACGATGTTATAGTAGTCAGTCGCGTTTTCCCCTCATATCTTGGCCAATCATCCAGAAACTTTTAATAAGTTACATGGAAAACTATTTAGGGAAAGTAGATAAATGTTTCGGAAAAAGTAATGTCGGGCAAAAAACCGTATCGCGCTTAAGGTGTTTCGTGAAACAATCGGAGCATTTTTACTAACCGAAAACGTGTTTTGGCGCGAGAGAAAAAAAAAGCTTACACGTCATGGTAAAACAATAGGTACGCCTACAGAAAATGTACCCTTACTCCGTCTACGGTCTTACGTCAATTGATAACGTCATAGTACTTCCTTGGACATTTACGCGCGCGCGCATAATGCGTTATAATGGCACACAAAAAAAAAAAAAAAAAAAAGGAAAAACTTTGAAAATCTAAAATCCTATAATTAGCGAATGACGTGAAAAACGTTTCTCGATTCGGTGTGAGTGTGTGTGTGTGCGTGTGTGCGCGAAAACGACAATGTTCGGTGTTGGTTCAAAAACATTCTATCGTGTTTTTTGGTTTTTTTTTTTTGTTTGTTACAACGTGTACTTATATTATTATTATTATACGTGTTTAGGCGTCCGACTATAATTACGCGTGTGCAGGTATATACAATATTATATTTAATGTAAAAAGTCATTACGGATTTTTTTCTTTATGCCGCGCGCGTTGATATCGCGGAAAAAGTTACAAAACACGACGGAGTTAATGTTCTAAAAAAAAAAAAAACTGACACTTTTTTCGTAATTATTATGAAATCGCGTGGGTAATAATATTATTATAATTTGTAAAAATATCGTCGTGCGATCGGTTACACGGCCGTGTAACAATATTGCGTACCTATAGGCAGTGCAATAATTACTGTCGATCTCTAGCGCAGACACGGAAATTCAAACTAAAAGAAGCCCCCGTCCCGCCATCGACATTAGGAGCTTCGTGAAATCAAGAGCGCAGGCCCCCCGGAGGATTGTCGATAAAAATTAGATTTGTCACGCTCTCCGTTCGCGTTGTACAATGTCCGGATTTTACTCTATTGATTAGTAAAACCAAAAAAAAAGATCAGAATAACGAACGAAGAATCCCCGAAATACTTTGGATTGTCCATGAAACGGTCACATTTCCCGGAGTGAACCTCCCCTTCCCATTCTGAATTCGTTATCGACTCTAGAGTCCCCCCCCCCGAACATACAGTGTGTGGTTAGTCGTGTCGCCACTGGACCGGGCATCGCGCTCGGCGGCAGAAGAGCTTTCGGGCTGCAGACAAAAAGGTTATGATACGATACGAGGTCTTCGGATACGATAATCGCATTACCGGTTTTTTATTTTTTTATCGTACGGTTTTTTCCTCGGTAAATTAATAAAACGGTATTATGTTTTTTTTTTATCTTATGCCCGCCACAAATATTCTTTTCGAAAACGTTTGCGGCTCTCGGTGGCGCCTTTTCGAGCGGTACACGCACGTGCACCGTCGCAACGACGTCGTCGTCGTTGGCAGTAGTACATTTTTATTTTTTATATATTTTTTTTTTTTTCGATTATTAATAAAGGCGGCGACTATTACACGATTTTTGCCATACGCGCGTCGTGTTTTTGCGGTCCCGTTCGCTGTACACACGCGACGACCGACTGACTGACAGGCGACCGTCCCACAATGCAGCGCGACGGCCTCGACCCGGACCCTCGTCTGCGCCGCCGACGACATTTTCGGCCCCCGAGGACCCATATAATACGTGTATACGTGTATATATTCGAAAAACGGTCTCGTTCGCTTGTTTTTTTTTTTCCTTTTTTTTTGTGTTAATTTTATTACTTTTACAATCGTCATTATCGCCGGTCGATGAGGGTTGATTTTTCGAGCGTCACAGAAATCGCGCGCGCGCGCGCGCGCTTGCGTAGGGGGGAAACGGCCATTATAACGCGAACCTACATCACCTGCCGCGCCCCCTCGTCTATAAATAACAATAATAATACGCGCGAGTATAATAGCCGGGAGGAGAGGAAGCGAAATTCGCGGTTTTCCGTCCCGCGGACTATTATACGATTACGCGTACGCAACAACTATTCGTATTATCACAGTATAATAGTCGAACGCGCGATTTTTGCGCCCCCGACACCGCGGGGGAAAAAAAAAAAAAACCATTTCATTTATTGGAACCGCGGCAATCGCAATAAAAATAGCGAAAATGATCGCAGAACGATTTCAGCTCGAAAAACGCAAACTCGGGGGCCGCGTCGCGAATGCTGCAGATGACTCCGATATCGCAATAAAATGTGTACAAATCGAAATCTCGGAGCGACGAGAATTCGATAACCGGACGTGCGCGTTTTGTTTTTTTCGATACACTATCGATTCCTATTTGTTTGAAATTGCAAACAAAACGCAAAATATTAATACAGCAGACGCCGCTTATAAAACTCACGGATATAATAGGTTCGGTCACTTATTATAGACTCAAAATCACTTAAAATAACATGTCCGGACAAATACATTTTATCCTTTTTCCACTTCGACTTTAATAAGGTTCATTCGGTTATAAGACTCACTTTGTGCTGGTCCCGAAGTGAGTATTACAAGCGGCGTCTGCTGTATATTAATAGTAAATCTTATTTGCTGTTACGGAACTGCGCTTTTTAGAATTTCGAAGCGAAAACACGCACGGTAAAACAACAAAGTGAAACAGAATACTATTTTATCGAAACTAATACTGTTTTATCGCGACGTGATCGCCGTGCTATTGAAATCGGTACTAAAAATTACCTCGATTTCGATGTACCCGGTCTCGAGTATCGAAGGTGTCCAGTTATCGAGATATCGAATCGTCTATCCTCGCTCGATGTGTTATAACGCGATGCGACTGTTGATTGGTCTATACGGAATCAAAGCGACTTCCGCGTAGGTAAACGATTAGGGTTCATTGAAGTAAAAATACCCTAATAGGTTCAACGAAAGAAAACTATAGTGGTTATTATAGACGCAGTACCGGTTGAGAGTGTGTAAATTGATTTTTTTTTCGGTCTAAATTGCGTAAGAAAAACGCGTTTCTATCGGTACAGGAAAATCCTTTCCCGTTTGTTTTCGTTTTCTGAAAAATTTGACTTTTGGTTCTAGACTACATACTCGTACGTCGGATTCGTCCGTTTGTTTACGCCGGGGTATGGTGTGGAGAATGACGATTGACTTTAAATAATACCGCGTCGAACGGCGAATTTTCGAGAGATGAAAAGCAGGAGATATTATCGCGGATGTCGGACCTGCAATTATCACTACGTAATCATGCATTCTCGGATATTATAATGGCGTACGACCACGAGAAGCGATTGTATTACGGCGACCGTGCAGTGTATTGTTGTATACTATCGTGTCGTATTTTAACATAATTTTTTTAACGCGACGACGTTACACGTTACGTCGACGACGTACACTAATAATTATAGCGTCGGCGGTTAATAAAAAAAAAAAAAAAATAATAATAATAATAAAACCGTGAACCGTGGCGCCGACATACGAAATCTTCGTCCTATATAAACACGAATTACACACACGGTACACCCGGCGTGCGGAGTCGTGTGTCGATGACTTGATTTAGATTATAATTTTTACAACAAACGAGTGCGCTGTACATATTTTTTTTTTTTTTTTTTTTTTTTTCTAAACCGATTTACATATTACACGATAAACGTTTTACCGTCGGACGTATGCGTTCCATAATTGCGCACGAGTACGTATATTATGTGTAGACCGTGATCGGCGAAAATCAAAATCTCCTACTTGCAATATTATTACATTACTCGTTTCGAAATTATTCGGTATTTCGATAGCCCGACAACGGAGGTACAAAACGGTCTCGGCCGCTTGTTTCGCGTTCGCGAAATATTCGAAGAAAACTGTTCGGAAAATCGTTTTCCGGGCGAATGCGATCGGTTCGGTTTTGGTAATGCGGACGCGATTCGTGTTGAATTCGGACGCATCGCAAATATCGCGGGACGCAAACGCAATACGACTCGCCGTCGCCGTCGTGTTCGTCGCACCGATTTGACCGGTCACGGTTTCGCGCACAAACGCGACGTCCGACCAGAAACCAGGCGCGCGTTCGAATGTTCGCCGCGCGGCAATAAGTGCCGAAAAACGATCGGATGAATTCCGACCGCGGGGTGCACTATCGGAACCGTAAACCGCCGTCGGGGCTTTGGCGTGCGACCGGCGGCGGTGTGGCCGCGACACCACGCCGCCGCCTTTTCCGGAATGAAAAACACCGTATCGAATCGGCGAACGTCGAACCGTACGGTTACGGCGCACACGAATCGCGGAAACACGGCCGCCTTGTCGATAAAAAACTATACGTTTTAATATGACCGGACGTTGCAGTCGGTCAATGCGACGACCCTTGCTCGCCCAATGCGGCAGCACAACTTGATCTGCGGAGGCCGTGATTATAACTCATTGACGACGCGCTGAAATTCCGTACGGATTTCCGAAAGAGAATTATTGTCCATCGGTAGTTTGGTGTCTATGACGCCGCGCCTGGATCGAACCGGGATCCGTATTATCGTCAAACTCGTAAAAAAAAGGTATTGAAACGTTGTTTGCGTTTAATGCGTCGGGGTGTTTTTTTTTTTTTCAAAAATTCAATTTTCTAGCGAGACTCTCGCGAAATGTTTAAAAAAATCTTTGTATCTCGTTTGAAAATTAAATTATCCAGAAAGAAAAACGACAATGTCATCGTGGCCTTTGAATGGCCGATTCGCCGCAGTAACAATAGTAAAACTAACGGCACAAAACTGCAGATACTACGAAAACAATATGGTGACGTTATCCAATTTTCCGCAATTTTCTTAGTTTTTAATTTAAATGTGGGTATTTTACATCGACTTATATGTTTACACGGCTTTTGAATTCGAATTCGGTATTTATTTCGATGTCGGCCCAAAAGGGGAGGGGACAAGAGAGGGCGTTTGTCTAAGTATTTCAAAATTTGAGTATTTTACAACAACTTATACGTTTATACGGCTGCTGAATTCAAATCTTCTTACATCAGTTTTGAAACAAGGAAGGTAGGGCGTGTGTGTGTTTTTTTTTTTTTAAAGTGTTGTAAACATTTCTATATTTTATATCATATTTATACTTTACTACATCAATTATAATTTCTAGTTTTAAAATAACTAAAATTAAAAAAAAAAAAAGGAAATAAACGCGTACTTGTAGAATAACCGACAGAAATCGAACGGGTATAAAAGTTAAAATAACGTGTATGGAAACATTATCTACTTATTGTTACCGCCTGATCAGTACCCCATTATTGCGTGCCGTTTTTTTTTTTTTTTAAAAATATCGCCGGGGCGGCACCGAAGACGAGGTCGACAGTGAATGACACTGCGACGACACCCTTAATGTGTTACGCACGTCGCGATATTATTAGATCGAAGTCGCCGGTGTTTGTGTCGCCCCGACTTTTATCGGTACGTGTAACGTCGCGAAACCGTTTCCGGCGACCGCGGCGCGTGATTGTTGACAAAATGCCGCGGCGGGAGGGAAACGGCGATGTTGTGTTTTTCTTTCGTGGCTTTTCTCTTTTAAGGGAGGGGTCCGTCGGGTCGGCGCGAAAACAATACGGCGTGTTTGACGCGATGCGAAAACGTCCCCTGCGAAGCACGGGAAAGGGCCGCGCCGCGAAACGATTATCGCGTCGTCTGCCGCGTAAAAGCCACGAGGGATCCGCGACACAGAAAACCGAAAGCCCGTGTTTTTTTTTTTGTTTTTAGTTTTTTTTTTTTTTTCTAAAGGCTCGTCCGTACACGCCCGCGTCGATACTAATAATATCGTCGTCTCGAGAATAAAGGCGGGCAGCGACGTCGAAGGGGCGAGCATTATATTTGGCATGCGGTATTCGACCTTTTTGACTCGCGACCCACTTTTTTTTTTACCGTACGTTTTGGCGACTCGCGAATAGCCGATAAAAGCAAGAAAAAAAAAAACTTCTAATTGTCTAACGTCTCGTCGTTTAATTGATTTCCTACGGCAGTAAACATTTTTATTGTCATTATAAATAATATTATCTACTGTAAACGGTCGTTGGATCCATTCGTAATCTACAGACAATTACTCGTCAAACGATTTTTCAAAAGTTACTAAACGTTCATTTACTATTATAACTCGTCTTTTTCCGAAAACTAAAGCACGAACGTTTCCGGAATACGCTCGAGCTTTTGAAATGCGAAATTTTTTGTCTTTTGTATAGTAAAATATTAAAATATTTTAAACCGAAGACTTATCGCGACCAGATGTTGAAGCTTGCTGCGCGACCCCCACCGGTTGAAGACCACCGCATTAGACGATACAGTAATATACGTACGACCTTTGCCGAACATTCCCAAATGCCGGGTTCGGTCGCGTAATAGTGTTATCGACTGTTCGTCGCGATCTACCGCGATATTTAATTTTTCGATTTGTTTCGTTTTATTTTTTCGCTATAGGGCGTAATAGGAAACGTCCTATTTAGCTCTTCTATAACGTCGCGACTGTTCGTTCGGGCCGCGAGGGTTAATAATATTTTTTTTCTAATTTCGTTTACCGCAAAGTTATTTTTTTAATTTTATCAGGATTTCAATCGCGGTTTATTTTTACCCGCGCCCGACCGACTACAATATAACCCGATTGCCTATACCTACCGCGTTTTTTTTTTTTATATATTCCACGGGTATATCGCGCGTATTAATAACGTATAAGATACAATCTATACACTAATGTACGCCTCGACGAATTTCTACTTGAACAGTTAATTTTCTTCGGGTATAATATATGTGTTATACGAATACCGAAAACGATTAGATATTTCCCACCGAATTGAATTGTTAATTTTCGTATTTTCGAATTGAAAAAAAAAAAATACATATAATACGAAGTCGATAAAGTCGTATGATACAATTTTTATGGCGTCCCCGGATCCGTTTTAACGATACCCGCCGAACGGCTTTTATCCGGTAACGCGCGAACGGTGTACTTCTCCCGCGGTAATATCGTCCGTGTTCTGCGTGTAGTTATTGTTTTTTTTTTAAATGAAATTCGACTCTGACGGAGTGCAACACACATTGATGTGGGAACAGAAATCGTCCGTTGAACCTCTCTCGGTCGAGAGATTGTAAGTGGCGCAAATGTGCAATATATAATGCGACGATTATTATTTTTTTCGGATATATTACGTGTTTTCGTCGGCGAACGGTTTCTCTTCTCGAATTTCAACGCAGGACGGGGGACGCTAAAGCTCTCCCGGGGCCCCCTCAAATTGGGTACGCCGCTGTATTTTTATACCTATTAGCAATCTGTTCGTTTTAACTATATTATAATGCTTTTTGTGTTAAGTAGTGTTAGTTTTTTTTTTTTTTTTTTTAAATACAGAATTTTTCTTATAACTCGATACGATTCGAATTCTTAAGATAATAATAAAAAATGAATAAACAACAGTATTCGAGTATACCAAACGACGCGAAATATTAGATGATTGTCGACAAACTACGGACTTTTTACATTGTTCTCGTCGGACGCGCACACGGTTAAATGCATTTTATACGGAACGTTATCGTGAACGCGCGGCCGTGAAATCAAACGATTTTAGAGGAAAACGATTGAAACTTCGAAATGTCCGAAGCTTCGGGCACACCAGTTCGCTGGTTTCACAAACTGAATTCGACCATTTACGGATATTTGAGCTCGCGCGTCATGTTCATACGAAACGTTTATGATTTGACGTGTCCCCGTACATTACGACCGTATCGCGTAACGTTTCAAAAACAGACGGACGTAATTACTACCGTAACACGCACGTAATACAATGTAATAATGGGGACGTGTACTCACTCTGTCCGAGGTGAACCCTCTTCATCCACGGGTAGATCTGCGGCGGGTTCTGGCCCGAACCCTGTTTGCCGCCGGACGCGGCGGGCCCGTTGCCGCCTCCGTTGCCGTTGCCGCCGCCGCCGCCGCCGCCGCCGCCACCGTGGGACGACGTGGACGAAATGGACGAGGCGGGCGACGAGGACGTCTGCGAGATGGGCCCTTGGGCGGCCGGCGAAGAACCGGCCACCGGGCCGCCGGACGAGCGGACGGACTTCATGATGGCGGGCGGCGGCGACCGGGAACCGGGCTGCGGCGCCGCGGACGTGGTCAGGTCTTGCGGCGAGCTGATGCCGTTCGGCGTGGCCGCCGCGGCGCCGGTCACCTCGTACTTGCACTGGACGCCGCCGGCCGCGGACGGCATGCCGACGACGTTGTTGTTGAGCGCGGACGATATGGGCGATATGGCACCGCCGCCGCCGGGCGACGGCAAGCCGACACCGCCGCCGTGGTGCTGCTGCTGCAGGTGTTGCAGATGCGAGCCCGCGACGGCGGCGGCCGCGGCCGCGGCCTGGAGCCTCTGGTGTTGCTGCTGGTGCTGCTGGTGCTGTTGGTGGTTGACCGAGTGCAGTTGCGTGTAGTCGATCATGGACGGCGACGACTGTTGCTGCATGTACTGCGAGGCCGCGTACTGTTGGGGCGAATAGCAACCGGCGGCCGGGCCCGTGTTGTACACGCCGCCGCCGCCGCCGCCTCCGCCGCCCTGGGCGGCCTGCCCGTAATAGTCGGCCGCGGAAGCGCCGCCGCCGGCACCGCCGGGGCTGTTGCCGGTCTGCAACGGGTCCACGGGCGACGTGACGGCCCGGCCCTGTTGCTGTTGCTGCGTATAGCAGTTCATGAATTGATACGAACTCATATTCATCTAAACGGATCGGATCGCGCGCGCGCACTGAACGCTCCGCTGACGGGGTTTGATTTGTCTGTTTGCCGGGTTTTTATTCCGAAAACCGTGCGCGGCGCGCTATTTACACCGCGGCCGTTGTTGGCGGTCTCCGCGAGCGGTGCGTACCTTCGTGGGGCCGACGAACGGCCTTTTCGGTCTCGCTGAAACTGCGGGCGGACGCGCGCGTCGTCAGGTCTCGAAAATCCCGTTCGAAAATCGCCTCATAGTGTCCGCCGGCCGGGTAAAACCGAGGTGTGAACCGCGCGCGCGTTGCGATTTCCCGCGGGCTGGGTGGCGAACGGAAAGAAATAAATTGACGGGTCGAACCGCGGAAAAAAAAAAAAAAAAAAAAAAACCAACGC